TCCCTGGCAATCCATCCATCCTATTTCACCACAAACTACTTCCTGACCCATCCTTCCACCCTGTCACTCAGAGGCCAATCTATCTCAATATGTAGTCTCCCTACCTAGAAATGATACACAGGAAATTATTATTAGTTAATCTTGTTATTATCATTAATGCTTATTATTATTAATGGCATAAGGAACAATGCTATTGTTAATATTATTATTCTTATCCTGGACGGTTTGGCTCAGTGGTTAGAGCATTGGCCCTTGGACCAATGAGTCCCGGGTTCAATTCCAGTCAAGGGCACATACCTTGGTTGCGGTTCATCCGTTGATGTGTCTGTCTCACACTGATGTCTCTCTCTCTCTCCCTTTCTCCCTCTGTCACTCTCTCTCTCCTCCCACTCTATCTGAACAAAAATGGAAAAATATCCTCAGGTGAGGATTTAAAAAAATTTTAGTGAAAAAAATAATAAAAAATAAATATTTTTATTATTATTTTCCCATCCCACTTTCTTCTTCTCTGGAAGCCAATGGGAGCCTACCTCTTACCCTCTCTCTCTATCTCAGGCACCCCCGTGAGTGTTTAGACCAAGTTCAGGGTTGCTGTGTTCACAATTCAGCGGATCTTCCCGGTGGCCTGATGCAAGGGATGATGGGATTTATCCAGAGGGTTCGACCCAAGTCTGCTGGTTGTCATGGCTCCACGAGGTTTACAGGTCCATAAAAATCCGCGGTGAACGTTCATTCCTTGTGGTCTCCAGGCCTGACACACCGGGAGGAGCGCCTGCTTTATGAGTGTACATTCCGTCTGTGCTGCGCAGACCTTGCCCTGGGAGGGGCTGGGACATTTTGTTCTCTTGATAAGAAGATGCAAAGCTGGGCTCTGGTAGTGTAAGCCCTGACAGTTGAGTTTTCTCTCTCTCTTGTTGGTAATGCAAGTGTCTGATTTCCGCTTTGGTTGCCAGGGCATGCACGTCAAACACGGTTTCCTGGAAAATACACATTGTCAGCCACACAAGTTGAGAAGACCCAAACTCTCCCTCCATGAGGCTCTATTTGAAAAGATTTTTTTTTTAATTTATTGATTATTTTGGAGAGAGAGAGAAAGAAATATCAATGTGTTGTTCCACTTAATTTTGCTTTCATTGGTTGCTTCTTGTATGTGACCTGACCGGGGATCCACCTGTAACCTTGTCATATTGGAACGACTCTAACCTGACCAGGGTGAGGCTCTGTTGTTATATTTTTTTTAATTTTTATTAAAATTTGTTTTTTATTGATTTCAGGGAGAGAGAAAGGAAGAGGGAGAAAGAGAAACATCGATGAGAGAGAACATTAATTAGCTGCCTCCCACATGCCCCCCACTGGGGATCGGGCCCACAGCCTGGGCATGTGCCCTGACTGGGAATCAAACCAGCGACCTCTTGCTGCATGGGTCGATGCTCAAGCACTGAGCCACACTGACTGGATGAAGCTCTGTTGTTTTAAAGATCTTGGTTAATTTTAATAACTGATCATTTAGACTACTTGTTTTTTTTCTCTTCTGGTGCTTTAAATTTCTGCTCAATGTTTTAAATTTACCAAAAACAAAACAAAACAAAAAAATAAAAACTCTCTCTCTCCCTCCATCTCTTTGTCTCAATAGCCAATCAACCCAGGACCTTGTTTCTAAGACTATTGGGTGCTGAGCAGAACCTTATTGTCATGAGGGAGGTGGGTGAGTCAGAGGCTAGGTGAGGCCAGTTTGAGACAATGGAAAAAAGTAAAAATTAAAGGCCAAATGAACCCTGGCTGGGTAGCTGAGTTGGTTAGAGCATTGTCCCAATATGCCAAGATTGTGGGTTCAGTCCCTGGTCAGGGAACACACAAGAAGCAACCAATGGATGCATAAATAAGTGGAACAATAAATCTCTCTCTCTCTCTCCTCCTTCCTTTCTCTCTAAAATCAATAATTTAAAAACCACATTTAAAAAACAAGGCCCACCTGAAACCTATATGACCATATTAACCAGTGTCACCCCAATAAATCTAATTTTTAAAAAAGATCAGGTGAAAGAAAATAAAGTTTCTGTGTGGTTACAAGAATCCCTTCCCAACATGCACCAGACTTCTCAGCTTAGGGATGTTCAGGGGCTGATAATGTAGGAAGCCCACCACTCCTGACCAAAGAGACAGGGTTTCAGATGTTCCCAGTGATGGGGGATCCAGAGTGGGTGAGCCCTGCCCAGCTCTGGGGTCTGCTTGAGGGAGTAAGTGTCAGTCTCTGAATTCTGAGGAATGTCCCAACCTGCAGTCACTTCCCAAGGACACAGTCTTCACGAGGGTCTCACTGCATTAAATGCTCAGATTCAGGCCCTCTTGGTCCTGGGTAAGCAGACCCATCATCATAGGCTCGCACAGTCTGGATGCAAGGAAGGGACGTTTTCCTGCAATGAGTTGGCATGAAGAGATGCACTCTGTGGCAGAGGTGGCTGATCTCATCCCATTGTCCACCCCCCCTTTTCCTTAGTAATAAGGATCCTAGACACATAGGAGCCCAGCTACAAGGCTGCACAATCCAGCTTCCCCTGCAGGTAAGTGTGGGCAGTGAGAGAGATAAACACAGAGCTGTTGTGAACCCTTCTCAGGAAGGGGCCCTTCAGGGGAGCTGTTCCCACCCCTTCCTCCTTCCTTCTGTCCAGTGGGGCTCAAGCGCCCATGTTGGATCAGGAGGTGGGAGTCACAGGGATCGAAGAACAACAATACAGATGGAGCCTGGGTTTCTTATGATCACAAAGCTTCCAAAATGGCCTGGGACTGCCCACCGCCAGACTCCTTAAATGAGAGAGAAACCAACGACTGCTTTGTTTAAGACTTCCATGTTTATTATTTTCGGTTCTTTCAGCGGAATGCAATCCTAAACAGTAGGGTGTCTTAGGGAGGAGGAAAACTGGGGGTGTGCACAAGGGCCTTTATACATGAGTGAGGGAGGCAGGGAAGACAGCATCCCAGAAGTGACAATGAGGGAGAGTTTGGAGACGAGGGAGGGGACCATAGCCAAGGGCTGCAGTTGAACTGAAGCTGGAAGGTCAATTTTGCATGTCTTCTGGGGACACCACTTACACTCCAGTGCGGGGGACAACCCATGAAGTGCTTTTTTTAATCCTCACCTGAGGATATTTTTTGATTTATCCATTTATTTTCAGACAGAGTGGGAGGGGGAGAGAGAGAGACACACACATCGATGTGAGAGAGACACATCGAGTGGTTGCCTCCCACACGACCCCCACCAGGGCCGGGGACTGAACCACAACCGAGGTACGTGCCCTTGACTGGAATGGAAACCAAGACTCTTTGGTCCGAGGACCGATGCTCTAACCACTTAACAAACTGGCCATGGTGCATGAAATACTTTTAATGGTAACTAATACCTTATTTTCCTATTAAACACCCTCCTCTGACTAAACTTGGGTCTAATATTGGAGATAACCCAAATAAAGAAAGATATTTAATGGAATGATTTCACTTTGGTGAAAATATGTATATGTGTATGAGGATATATATAAAATATCAGAGCTGAGAAGACTCATAGGAACAAACTTGATATATCTCCAGGGAGTCCAATTATGACAGGGGATTTTTAAGAGTTTTCATTGAGTCATAATAAACAATTGTATATTTATTCATTTTTAAAAATATTTTATTTACTTATAAGTTTATAAATGTAAAAATGTATGCAGGTATACATATTTTGAATATTTAGATAAGTACTTAAAATATTTACCTAATCTTAAATTTTTTTTAATCCTCACCCAATGATGTTTTTTGATATTTTGTTCAGATAGAGTGGGAAGGAGAGAGAGAGAGAGAAACATCCATGTGAAAGGGACACATCAAGTGGCTGCCACCCTCATGACCCAACCAGGGCCGGGGACAAACTGCAACCGAGGTACGTGCCCTTAGTGGGAACTGAACCTGGGTCTCTCCAGACCGCAGGCTGAAGTTCTAACCGCTGAGCCAAACCGGCCAGGGCTAATCTTAAATTATTATGAAGATTCATTAAAAAGCATTTTGAATGATTTAATTATTAAGATGGTACGAATTCTATTTTGTTTTCCTTTGTTAATAATTTCCCAAATTTTTTACGGCCAATGCTTTTGCCATTAAGAAAGTCATATTTGTGCCCTGGCTGGTGCGGCTCAGTTGCTTGAGCATGGTCCCAGGTATGAGAGGTTACCAGCTGGAATCCCCATCAGGGCACATGCCCAGGTTGTGGGCTCAGTCCTGGGTAGGGGGTGTGCAGGAGGCAGCCAATAGATGTTTCTCTCTCTCTCCCTCTCCCTTCTTCTCTCTCTAAAAAAAATCAATAGAAGAGGGGTGGGGGGGGCATCTGTCATACTTTCGATGTTTCTATCTCTCCCTCCCTCTCTCTAATATCAATACAGAAAAAACAAAACAAAAAAAATACTTTCAACAATAAATAAAAATTTTAAAAAAACAATAAAAAGATATATTTCTTTATTGTTCTTTATTGCTTTTTGGAGAGAGAGGAAGGGGGAGAGAGAGAGAGAAACACCATGAGAGCGCACACTCTCAGTCCAGGGCAAACGCAGACGGTTGTCATTTGAAAGGAAAACAAGACACACATTCAAAGCGTCTTTCGTTTTGTCCTTGTTCAGCTGTTTGGAATTCTCCCAGTTTTCACAAAAGTGAGCCCATGGGTGTGTGTGTGTGTGTGTGTGTGTGTGGTTTTCCCTTGTTTTATTTTTGTAACGGGGACAGAAGAGTGTGAATAGGTAATAAATAAGTAAGTAAATAAAGGCAACACAAAGTCATAAAGATAACGAATGACTCCCCAGAGGCTCCCCTGCCCAGCCCCTCCCTCCTGCGGTGCAGAGTTCAGCCCCCAAGGCAGGAGGGGTATGGAGCCAGCAGCTCAAGGCCAGAGACACAGGTGGGTGAAGGCGCAGAGGGCGGAGGTGGCTTCCGGGTCTCTGGAGAGATCCCTCCAGCAGGAGGACACAGCGGAGCTCATGCCCCGTCCCAGACCCAGACGCAGCCCCTGGAGGGAGCTGGCCCTTGTGGGTAAGAGAAAGCGACCTAGCAGGACTGGAGGGGGAAGGTGAAGGGGACTGGACAGGACCCTTGCCAGGACATTCATGAGCTCACACACCTGGGCATACCACACACACACACACACACACACACACAACTTTCCCCTGGGTGTCCCATCTGCCCTGATTCCCTCCTCCCCCTCTCCAGCTGGACCCCTTCCCAACCCCTCACTTTTCCCCAGGACCCTTTGCATCCCCCGGACACGAACATCTATCATGTGTCGCTGGCAGCCCTGTGTACTGTCCTTGAACACCTCCGGTGTCCACACCTGGAGGCCTGGAACTGGAGGTCTCAGGTATTTCTGCCTCCTCCATAGAACCAAGGCTGAGGGGTCACAGAGCAGTAGACGCCTGTCCGCCTCTCGGGTGGCGATAACAGATCCCCACCTCCGTTCACATTCACTCTACTGAATTTAGGTGCTAAGCCAAAGCCGTGTAGACAGTCTTGGGGGAGTCTTATCCACCCAGGTAATCATCCCGGGGACTCCCACTGGCTTCTGCCCTCCTGGGACTCACATCCAGTGCCTGCCAGGCGCAGATGGATCACCACACTCTGATAACCTAGCGTGGTGGGTGGGGGGAGGGGAGCCCAGGAGTCTGGGGCCATCTGACCCAGGCCGGGGAGGAGGACACCTCGAAGCGGAGAACTGAGGGATGAGTAGAAGCGAGTCAACACGGAGGAAGCAAGGATCAGTACGCCAGCAACAGGGAACAGCATGAGTGAAGGCCTGAAGTCAAGAGAAAGTGTGGTGTGTCGAGACAGCTGTGCGCATGCCTGGGGCACACAGTGTGGGTGCTGTGTCTTCTGATGAATGAATGAATACATGATTGCATGAGTATGAATGCATGCGTGAGGGAGTAGATGGGGTGATGAGGTGGGACAGATGTGATCCCAAAGGAGTCTAGATGAGTCCAAAAGACACTCTAGGACTTTGAACTTCTTGAGAGCACTGAGGAGCCAAGGATGGTATTTGAGCAGAGAGTAAAGCAGGGCCACACTGGGCCTTTTTTTTTTTTTTTTAATTTTTTTTTTCCTTCATTGATTTCAGAGAGAGAGGACGTGAGAGGGAGAGAGAGATAGAAACATCAATGAGAGAGAACATCGATCGGCCGCCTCCTGCATGCCCTCTACTGGGAATCGGGCCCGTAACCTGGGCATGTGTCCTGGCCAAGAATTGAACCAGTGACCTCTTGGTGTGTGGGTCGACGCTCAACCACTGAGCCACACCGGCTGGACACGACTGGGACTTTATAAGGATCTTCATAACTGTCATGTGAGGATAGATTGGAGGCTGTGTCCAAGGAAGAGTCCAGGCTGGAAGACAAGGAGGAAATGGACCAGGGTAGGGGCTGAGCAGGTGGAGAGGAGGGGACAGGCTGGGGAGTCATTCAGGTGACAGAATTCCTTGGAGTGTTCACCAATGTCTGTGTGGATCATTGCGTTGGTGGTGTTAATCATGCTCTCTCTCTCTCTCTCTTTCTCTCTCTGTCTTCCTCAGCCAGTCTTCTGGCCTGTGGCATCTGCCAGGCCTCTGCCCAAATCTCCATCATCTCATTTGTAAATATCGAGGGATTCTCGAGCTCCCTGCACCTCCAGAATGTCCCTGAGGGCATTCAGGAATACATCTGGCATCGAGGTGCCAATGACAGTGCGGAAAATATGATTGTTAGCTACAAACCTCCCTCCAGCTCCTGGCGGTCTGGGCCCATGTTCAGTGGCCGGGAGAATGTGACCAAGAAGGGCAACCTGGAGATCAAGGACTCTATGTTAAATGACACGGGGTACTACACCGTGCGAGTGGACCTCAGCAATGGGAGCCAAAGAGCAACCGGCTGGCTGGAGATTCAAGGTGACTTGACAGGTTGCCCTGTTTCCTGAAGGCAAGAGTTGGTCCTGGAGACTTTGGGAGTGAGGTTCCTTGGAGATCTTACTGTCCAAGTTCCCACCCACCTCCAGATGACCCTGGGAGCCCTGGCAGGTGGTTGTCTAGCTTCCCCCTCAGGCACGGGTCACTCACTACCTCCAGGAGCTCCAGTTTAATTGTAGGTTATTAACTATCTGTTCACAGGGCAGCATAACAAATAGGCACACACTTAGCAGCAAAAATCACCTATTTTTATTGCACAGTTTCTGTACGTCAAGATTTCAGGCGTGGCTTAGCCAAGTCCTGTACTCCTAAATGTTGGCTCATAAACATTGATCCTCAAGTGTGTCTCTGTACACAAGCGCTTCACATGAGGGCTCTTTGCTTCCTCAAGGTCAGCCAAACTCTCTTTATCTCTTTTTTTTTTTTTTCAGCCTCACCTGAGGACCTTTTGCCATTTTTTTGTACAGATACAGTGGGTAGGAGAGAGAGGAAGAGAGAGAGAGAGAGAAACATCGATGTGAAAGGGACACATCGAGTGGCTGCCACCCACACGACCAACCAGGGTCGGGGACAAACTGCAACCGAGGTACATGCCCTTAGCGGGAACCGAACCCGGGTCTCTCCGGACCGCAGGCTGACGCTCTAACCGCTGAGCCAAACCGGCCAGGGCTCTCTTTATCTCTTGTCTACTAGGAAATCTTATATGACAAAAGGTAATGATGGGTGTGATAGCCATCATCTTTGCTATATTCTCTAAGTGAGTCACAGGTCCCACCTGTATGTATGGCTTGGCCTTGGGACTTTGTCTTCCCTCTGTGGTCCTCCGCCTCCTCATTTGTAGAATGGGAGTAGCATCTACAATGGTGGTCTGTTGCAAAGTTGGAGGGAGTCCTGGTCAAGAAGACGGGCTGCAGAGCAATCATTGTGGAGAGTCCAAATACAACATCTCACTGAATTCTGCTCACGGCTTTTCAGGAGGGATGTCTTGATGTGGGGCTTCAGAAACAACCATTGGGTCACAGGCTCATGCCAAGAACTCACCACTGTTTCAGGGGCTGCTCCAGCGATGGGTCAGCACGTAGGACGATGGGTCCAAGCAAGTGCCTGCATCTAACTGCCTTGTGCCCACTCCCTACTTCTCTGTGCCTCTTAGCTCCAAGGATGATCTCCTGCCAAGACCCCAGGCCCCATTTTACAACTCCTGGTTTCTCCCCCAATATACTCCAAACCCCAGAGACAGACACCACTTTTTTTTTTTTTTGGTACGTTCCCCTAGCGGGAACCGAACCTGGAACTCTCTGGTCCGCAGCCAATGCTCCAACTGCTAAACCAAAATGGCCAGGTGTCACTTTTTTTTTTTTTTTTAATCCTCACCTGAGGATAGTTTTCCATTGATTTTTTTAGAGAGAGTGGAAGGGAAGGAGGGAGGGAGGGAGAGAGAGGAAGGGAGAAAGAGAAAAATTAATGTGAGACACATGGATTGGTTGCCTCCCGCAGTACCCAGACTGGGCGGAGTTGAACCTACAACCTAGGCACGTGCCCATGCCTGGGAATTGAACCCAAGACCCCTTCAGTCTGCTGGCCAATGCTTTAACCACTGAGCCAAACCGGCCAGGGCGGCAGACCCTGCCATTAATCTTCTCTTCACACAGAGTTGGAAAGCGACCCTGTGATCTCAGCCAACACCAGCTTCCTGGCAGAGAACCTGGATCCCTTGACCGCTTTCTGCCACACCAATGCCACCAATGCCACCATCGAGTGGTTTGTGAATTCCGCACGGGTGTTCAGCAATGAAAGGATGACGATCTCCCCAGACGGCAAGACCCTCGTCATCCACCAGCTCAGCCGCTATGACTTTCTCCTTCAGTGTGCCATAGAAAGTGTCATAGGCATTCCTCAGAAAAGCGAACTTCTCTTCCTGACTGTGAATTGTGAGTGGTCTGGGGTCATGGGTGTGAAGCCAGGGGTGGGTTTAGGGTCTTCTAGGGAGGTCGGGATAAGAAAGGAAGAACCAGAGAGTGGTCATGTCCTGAGCCAGCCTGCAGCCCAGAGGGATCTGACTTCAAACCCCAACTCTGGCCATTCGGCTCTTTGGACTTCACAGGGAGGACAGTTTCTGACCTTTGCACACTGCTTATCTGTTGGAGGTTTGAACAAGGCCCCAGGTCCCAGAGGCTACGGCTGTTTGGGGAATTTCCGCCCGGGCCATTGGGGGACTTGCTTAACCCTTTTATAGATCAGTAGAAGACTATTAAATCCCCTGTCATCTCTGAGCCTCATCTTCCTCATCTATAAAATGGACCCATCACATGGGTTGGAGTGAACGTGTAAAGTACTTAGAACAGTGCCCGGCATGCAGCGGGCCCGATGCGTTCGATTCTACTCCACACCTATGTTTTTATGATGTAAATGGCTACCGCGGGATTGGCCCATATATCACACGTTTCATAATGCGAGACATTGTTTTTATTGTTCTTCTTGGTCCAGCTGCTTCACCTGGGGTAGATCTAGGGATCCTCTTGGGGTGCAGGGTGGGGTACCTCCTGGCTGGGGAAGGACTACATGTGCACTGAGGGAAGGAGATGGGACCCTGGGGGGGTGGTCAGGAACACCGTTCCCATTTCTGCAGATGGACCCGACAACATGATGGTGAGGACGATGCCAGAGAAGTCAGGCAACGTCCTGTCCGCTGAGATTGGCTCCCAGGTGCAGATGAACTGCTCCTCCACCTCCAGCCCAAGATCCAAGTACCGCTGGGTCCACAAAGGCTCCATCCTGAGCTCAGAGGCGAGCATCAGCCTCCCGAGTCTGGCCCGGGAGCAGATGGGCAAATACAGATGCATCGTGGAGAACCCAGTGACCCAGCTGCTTTTGTACCAGGACATCTGGATCCGGAAACCCTGTAAGTGCAGCTGCGCCCCCTCTGGGGCTCACACTTTCCAAATCTTGCCCCCTCCGTGCCTTTGCCTAGCCAGTGCCCATCCTCGGGCATGCCATCTCCGCCTTACCATGCCCTGCTCACAGCAGTCGGGGGAAATCCTCCCGCCCGCCCGCCCGCTGAAGCCCTCAGGTCAGAGTTGGGGTAAATTCCAGGGAGAGGTGAGTCAGCCGACAGTGACAGTGACGGAGCACTCACTTTGTGCCAGCCACCATTCCGACCTGTGCGACCCTCCCAGCCCCCCTCCGGAGTAAGTGTCTATGGTGAGCGTCACCTCCGTTTTATAGGCCAGAAAACTGAGGCTGGGGGTGTTGGAGTGCTTTAGGCAAGGTTTCAGTTCCAGAGAGCTGAGGAGGCAGGATTCAAACCCTGGCAGTCTGGCCGCATGGCCCATGCCCTCAGCCGTCCCCGTGGGCTGCTTCTGAGCTGATGGGAGGACAGCAGGGGATGTGGTGCAGAGTGAGAAGGCGTTTGGCTGGGATGTGATGTGGTTTTCAAAGCGGACCCCAAACAGGTCTGTTGCTGCCTGTCGTCACTAAGCCCATAAGCAGAGACAGGGTTGAATCTTTTACCATCATTTAATCATCAGATAGCCGGCAATCTGAGACAGCAGTGGGTATGGCACCTTGAAAAGACCGCTCTGACATTTCTTTTATTATTATTATTATTATCATCATTATTATTATTTTAATCCTCACCTGACGATATTTTTCCATTTATGTTCAGATAGAGTGGGAGAGAGGGAGGGAGGGAGGGAGAGAGAGAGAGAGAGAGAGAGAGAGAGAGAGAGAGAGAAACATCGATGTGAAAGACACACATTGATTGGTTGCCATCTGCATGCACATGCCCTGACCAGGGCTGGGGATCAAACCTGCAACCCAGGTACATGCCCTTGCTCGAGAATTGAACTCATGACCCTTCAGTGTGCAGGCCAAGGCTCTAATCACTGAGCCACACTGGCCAGGGCTAGGATGCTTGTTTTGTTCACCGTTGAATCCCTGCTACCTGGAACAGTGCTCTGCACGTAGCAAGTATGAATACATCTTTGAAGAACAGGTGTGTGGGTTACAGAGGGTTAGTGGGTGAGTGAAGGGATGGCTGAATGGTAATCCTTATCCTCTTGTGTTCTCTCTTCCCAGGGAAAGCCCCTGTTATTAGCACAGGTTTCTTCCTCTCAGGACCCGTGGTGGTGGTTTTCATTGTGATGACAGTCCTGGGTGGTGTCTACCTCTGCGGAGTCCTGATCTACCTTCTGATCAACCATTTCTGCACCAGGTGCCTATCATCCTGGCTCAAGGGTGGGGCACTGCTTGGGGTCTGGGACGCAGAGAGGGTGCAGCAGAGTGAGGGGGGAAGGGACAAGCCTGGAACTGGGTTGTCAGAGACCCTATGGGGCAGACACATAGGTCTTGAGGGCCAGAAGCCAGCCAGGAGACAGAGAGGGTTTAGAGTCAGCCATGCCTCTAAAATAACAGTACAGTTTCATCCAGGGACTTTTCTTCATCCCTGTTTCTTTTGGTTTACAATGTAGACATTGAGGTCCACCTAGAACGGCAGCTGTGAGAATGTGCCTGGTACATGGTAGTCACTGGTTACCAAGTGAAGTTGGGGAAACAGGTAGCAGGGCTCAACGACACAGGGGCAGGGGATTGGGCGGAGGGGTGGTTAATATCTGGCGTCAAGTTCCAGCTCTGCCTCAGGCTGGCTGGGTGACCTTGAGCAGAGCGTTTCTCCTCTCGGATTCTCCTAGCCCCACGTGGAGGACGTGAAGGGGGACACCTGCCCTGGAGGGTGATGTGAAGGTTAGACATACATGTTGGAGGATGAAGGAATTAGCAACATTCTGAGTGAACTAAGTTCTCAGCCTCAACACTATCAATATTTAGGGTCAGATCATTATTTCCGTTGTGGGGGTAAGGCCATCCTGTGGACTGTGAAAGGTTTGGCCTCTACCTACTCGATGTCTGTAGCAACAACCACCATAACCCCCGGTTTAGAAAACCCAGAATGACTCTAGGCGTTACAGGGGTCCCTCGGGGGACAAAACTACCCTGGTTGAGACCGCTGTCGTAGATGATAAAAATAGCATAGACGGACCTGGAGAGTATGAAACTAAGCGAAATAAGCCAGTTGGGGAGGAGATGGTCAATGGGGGGAAAAGGGGGGACATCTGTAGTACTCTCAACAACAAAGATACATTTTAAAAATAGCGCCCTGGCCAGTTTGGCTCAGCGGTTGAGCGTCGGCCTGCGGACCAGAGAGTCCCGGGTTCGGTTCCTGCTAGGGGCACGTACCACAAAATAAATAAATAAAGTAAAATAGCAGTGATGGTGGAGACGACAGGGATGATGATGATAATGGTTATGATGTGGTGACCATGGGGACAATGGTGGTGATAGTAATTCTGATGATGACGGTATTGATTGTGGTGATGAGGGGGAAGATTTTAGAAGATACATCCTTTTTATTGTTTTAGTATTTTGATTTTGAGCCCATGTCTGATCGCTGTATGGTTTCCGTATCAGGACGATTACGGTAGTGGCCATCAGTGTGATAGCAGGCGAGTCGGCTTTAGTTTGCCATCTGTAAAATGGGAGTAATACTGGTACCAACCTCACAGGGATATCTGCTATGGGGATAAAGTAAGGTATTACTGATAAAGACCTTGAAACAAGGCTTGGCGTGTGGGAAGCACTCAATAGAATCTTAGATGCTGTTATGACTATCAATACCATTATTATTCAATGCACAATTCCTAAACTGGCTGTGATAAACTCTCGGGAGTTTAAGAGTGTTTCCAGGAGATTTGGTTCATCTCTTCTTCTACGTCCCGGAAGAAGCTCCCTAGCCAAGCATAACCCCCTCCTCGTAGCCAGGAGTCAAGCCAACACCTTCATTGTCCCATTCCACTTAGAAATGACACCTTCTCCATGGGCTGAGTTTCTCAGTATAGCATCCACGCAGAGAGAGGCGTGGGTTTAGGAATATAGGCCTAAATTCCTATTTAGGCAAGGTTTGGAATATAGGCCTCTGTCATTTTCTTGCTGTGTGACTTTGGGGAAGTGATGTCACCTCTCTGAACTTCTGCTTCTCCACCTGCAAAACGGAGTTAAAATATCTACCTGTGTAACTGTTGGGAAGGTTCAAGATAATTTCTATAAATCACCTGCCATCGTGCCTGACATATAATAGGTGTAAAAGAAATCATCATCATCATCATCATCATCATCAGTAATTAGGCCAGGTAGTGCCAACTCCTCCCCTCCATCCATCCCCTGCCCAATGTCCTCTTCCTCCTGTGAACGTCAAACCTCAGAAGTATCAAAAAGTATGGGGAACGTTGAGGACTCTTAGTGGAGAGGTTTAGATCCCAGATTCATTATCTGTTCCTGGGGTTTCTCCTGGGGAGGGCTTGGAAGAAGCGACCCCTCATATACCCAGGTCTCTCCTGCTTTCTCTGTTTCCTGTGGACCTGAGACGTGACTTCTTTCCTGATTTCTCCCCATAGGGCAAGCCAACCTATATGAATGTCCACCTCAGACCTGGAGGACGAGGCCAGATAAGCAAGAGGTAAGAGGGGGTAGGAGGTAAGAAGGGGTAGATTGAGAGTCCTCATAGAGGCGGGCAGTGAAGAGAGGGAACAGGGACCGTCACACTGAGGCTGGGAGACTGAGGCTCCTGGAGACCTGGGCTGGGACATCACGGACAGCGAGGCCATTGGCTGCTCCATCTGTCCATCAGAGCTGGCCAATGGGCTGCAGGCTGGGGCAGGTCGAGCGCGGAGCTCTGGGTTCTAATTCCAACGCCTCTTCCCCACCAGCAAAGGTGATTCTAACGTCCCCACTTCTTTAACCCGACGCGTGGACCATCGGAGATGCTGCAAAGATGCCCCAACTCAGCGTTGCCAGTGGCGAGGAAACAGCACAACCTATAAATACCCCACAACCAGGAATTGCTTAAATGGGGCACAGCACGTTGAACTAATCTGTCACCTGTTAGGACCCGTGCTGGGGAAAGGCCCTTACTGATGCAGAAAACGCTCACAACTTAATGTGTAGTGCAAAGCAGCCTCCGATAGGACCATGGTTATTAAAAAGTGTAGATTAATTTACTGCTATAGATTATATATATATATATATATATATATATATATATATGTGTGTGTGTGTTTTCCACCGTTTTACATGTATACACACGTATATACACACCTGTACTAAAACTATGGAAAACGTTAACTATTAATAGTGCTAGCTCTAAATTCCCTTCTTTACTCTTTAATTTTTTTATTTTTATTTTTCACCCGAGGACATTTTTCTATTTATCATTAGATAGAGTGGGAGGGAGGGAGAGAGAGACAGAGAGAAACATTGATGTGATAGAGCCACATCAACTGGTTGCCCCCCCCCCCAACCCCACCGGCTGTGGGGAGGAACCGCAACTGAGGTACTACATGCCCTTGACCTGAATCAAACCCTAGACTCAGTGGTCCATGACTGACATTCTAACTGCTGAGCCATACTGGCCAGGGCCACACTTTACTTTATATTCTAAGGTGCCCCCCCGCACACACACAAAGTGTATAAATTGCTTTTATAATCGGAGGAAAAAAATAAGCCAATAGCCCAACTGGTGTGGCTTAGTGGACTGAGTATCATCCCAAGGACTGAGAGGTCCTTGCTGGTTGATTCCTGGTCAGGGCCCATGCCAGGGTTGTGAGCTCCATCGCCAGTAGGGGGCATGCAGGAGGCAGCTGAGGGATGTTTCTCTCTCATATCTATCTGTGTTTCTATCTCTCTCTCCCTTCTTCTCTCGCTAAAAAATCAATAAAAACATATATAACACATTTTAAAAAAATCAATGGAAAAATATCCTCAGGTAAGGATGAACAACCACAGAAAACAGACGCAGATTCCAGTTATATAAACCAATTATACAATTCATAAGATGCATTTTTCCCCCCAAACCTTGAGGCACTTGTTCTACCACCATTGGCTGAAAAATTTTCTGTCTTTCCCAATTGAATACACTTGGTTCTATTCAAATAAATTATCTCTCTCTGTCTCTCTCCCCTTCCTCCCTTCCACCCTCTAAAAATCAATGGAAAAAAATATCCTCAGATGAGGATTAACAGAACAACAACAACAAAAAACCCCAAACAATAAAGTTATTCCTTGGTGCTTCGTGTTTTTGGTGCTGTTCTAAATGGGTTCAGGTACAGATTTTTTTTTTTATCCTCACCCGAGGATATTTTTCCATTTTTGTACAGATAGTGTGGGAGGGAGAGAGAGGAAGGGAGAGACAGAGAGAGAAACATCGACGTGAAGGGACACATCGAGTGGCTGCCACCCGCACGACCAACCAGGGCCGGGGACAAACTGCAACCGAAGTACATGCTCTTAGCGGGAACCGAACCCGGGTCTCTCCAGACTGCAGGCCGACGCTCTAACCGCTGAGCGAAACCGGCCAGGGCCAGGTACAGATTTAAGGAATGTTCAATGGCTCGTCCCATCCTTTGCTTTCTTTCCATCAAGCCAACTTGATGAAGTGACTGCTGTGACATTCTCCTCTCCTTGTTGGGTGGCTGTAGGTAAAGTTTCAAATCGTGCCATTTCATGCGTCAGCGGGTGGTAGGATCATTTGGGGATCATTCATTTGGTTTGTCTTCATTGGGGGAGATCATGAGCTCCTGCTTGAAGTTCACTCCTCGAGCTGGACTTTCAAAGACAGAGGCAGGGGAAGGCCGGATGGGCCATTGCAGGAGGAGGCACCTCAGTGTGCAAGGATTGGTGTTGGTTACCTCTGGAGCCAGGAGAAACTCCTGCTTGAAGCATGGGGGTTCAGCAGCAACAGGAACAAACACAGGCTCACACAGCAGAACGGGACACGTGCTGGACCACACAACAGAATCCGTGTCTTCGCTTTTCCCATTTTCTCTTGATTGTTCAAATTAAGATACAGGCACACATACGTACGACCACTTCCCACACTGCTCTTATCAAGAACACCAGTGACCTCCGTGAAATCCACGTGTTCATCTCCCAATCCTCGCCTTTCTGGACTTGGCAGCAGCAGGCAACTTACGTGCTTTCTCTAAATTTAATGACAAGACAGCAACATTTTCCAGGAATGGAAATGTTGATGGAAGCCCTTCACCTCCCTGACCCCTAAACATCAGAGCAGCTCCAGACTCTTTCCTTCTTCAATGTCACTTTGTCATTTCATCCATAGATGGGCTTTGTGTCATCTATAGGTGGATGGCTCCTGAATCCGTACCTGCAGCCTGTTCCCCTCTCCGGAATTATAGACTTCGATTCAACAGTATGCTTGTAACCCCCACCCCCTTGTCCAACAGGCAAACAAACTCAACGCACTGAAGCTGAACTTCCTTTGCTCCCCCATATCTCTTCCTCTTATAGTTGTTTCAGCCTCAATGACTGACACCTCTATTCTTCCACCTGCCAAGGACAAAAATCTCAGAGGTGTCCTTGATGCCTTCCTGTCACTCATACTACACTCCCAATTGATTAGCAAGTCCCATTAGCCTTAACTTCAGATTTCATCCAGATGCTAACCAGGCCCCGCCCCCCGTGGCAGCCTGGTTCCTGCCACCAGCATCCTTTCTGATGAACCTGCCACACAGCAGCCAGAGGTCCCTGTGACAATGGAAGTTGGATCTTGTCCTTTTTCAGCTCAAAGGTACCCAAATGCCCCCAGTAGCTGGCATGTGCAGACGTGATTAACACGCACACTGCCTGGCTGGTGTGGCTCAGTGGTTGAGTGTCATCCCATGCACCAAGAGGTCACCGGTTCAATTCCCAGTCAGGGCACATGCCCACGTTGTGGGCCAGATCCCCAGTGGGGGGTGTGCAGGAGGCAACCAATTGATGTTCTCTCTCATGGATGTTTCTATCTCTCTCTCCCTCTCCCTTCCTCTCTCTCTAAAGTCAATAAAAAAAAAAAAAAAAAAAAAAACATGTGCACTAACTCCTCCAAATTTATTTCCTGCTTGTTGGCCCTTGCCTCCCTCTGTCTAATCCCAGGGACTTGATGCTTCTCCACTCACTGGTCAACCTCCTGCTTCTGAGTGTTTGCACCTGCTGTTTCCTCTGCTCAGTGTGCTCTTCAGTCATACAGTCATACAGCAGACTCTGGCCTCTGCTCGAACATCACTACCAAAAACCAGAAGCCAACCATGGAATGGGAGAAGATATATGCAAATCATATATTTGATAAGGGGGTCAATATCCAGAATAAGTAAGGTACTCTTACAACTGAAAAAAAAAAAAAAAACTTTTTAAAGCTCTAACTGGTGTGGCTCAGTTGGAAGAGCATCATCCCTTGCACTGAAAGGTCACCGGTTCAATTCCTGGTCAGGGCACATGCCCAGGTTGTGGGTTTGATCTCCCGGTTGGGGTGCATGTAGGAGGTAGCTGATTGATGTTTCTCTCTCACATGTCTCTCTCTTTCTAAAAATTAATAAGAACATATTTAAAAATAATTTATTCAACAAATGTTTATTGAGCCTGTGTGCCAGGTTCTAGGAATTCCTCAAGGTACTAGAAATACTGCAATGAGCAGAAGACCAAAGCCCCTGCCCTTTATGAAGTTCACAGTCTGGGAGAGACAGACAATAAGCAAATAAATCTTGTCAAGCCATGCTTAAGGCAACAAGTAAAACAAAGGGAGATAAAGACAGCGGTAGATGGCAAGAGCCAGTTTCCACGGGGGTCAGGGTAAGGCCCGCTTGAAGATGCAGCAGTTGAGCAGACACCAGAATAAAGCAAAGGGACAAATCATAAAGCTCTCTTGGGTCAGCTTCCCAGGTCAGTGAACTGCCGGAGGTGGGAAGAAGCTTGGTAATCTAGGGAATAGCAAGAAAGTGTGTCCAGAGCACAATGGACGGGAAAAATAGCAAGAGATGAGATGAGGCAGTAGCCAGGGTGGGCCATGCAGGGTCTGTAGCGGCAAGAACTACTTGAATTTATTCTAAGAGTGATGGTAAACCATTGGGGGTCTTTCCGCCAAAAGAGGTCAAGATTTGATTTTCATGGTCTCAAAAATCACTTCAGCTGCAGTGAAAATAATGAACCGTAGGGGGCGCAAGATGATCAAGGGAGCCCTGGCCGGTTTGGCTCAGCGGTTAGAGCATCAACCTGTGGTCCCGAGAGACCTGGGTTCGATTCCCACTAAGGGCATGTACCTTGGTTGCAGTTTGTCCCCGGCCCTGGTTGGTCGTGCGGGTGGCAGCCACTTGATGTGTCCCTTTCACATCGATGTTTCTCTCTCTCTCTCTCTCTCTCTCTCTCTCTCTCTCTCTCTCTCTCTCTCTCTCCCTCTCTCTCCTGCTCTATCTGAACAAAAAATGGAAAAATGTCCTTATGTGAGGATTAAAAAAAGATGATCAAGGGCAATTGGAATGACTTTTTAAAAAATAATTTTTTACTTTTCAGGTACAGTTGACATACACTATTATGTTAGTTTTGGGTGTACAACATAGTGATTAGACATGTATATAACTTACAGAGGGACCTTCCCCACTCCCCCACCCCCTTCTGATAAGTCTAGTACTCACTTGACACGGTACAATGGGATGACTCCTGAGCTCCAGGCACTGTGGGGTGTTCTTCCTCAGTTAGCTCAGAGATGCAGTGGGTTGGGGTTCGGTCCGTGATTTTACAAACTTGGGGCTCAGAGAGAGGAAGTGAATGTGAAGTCAAACAGCAAATCAGTGAAGGAGGTGGGCTGCTTGACCCTTTTGCTATGCTGCCTCCTGGGGCCATGGGTCCTTGGAGGTCAACCGCTGACTCACCATATGGCTTGGGCCAGGGACCTTTTCCCTTTCTGTTCAATTGAGTGTCTCCCTCTCACCAGGAGGTGGGTGGTTGGTTAGATTTCTAGTGTGGTTTAAGCAGCATTATTCAATTAAAATATAATGTGAGTCACATATGTGATTTTAAAGTTTCTTTAAAATTGTTTTTAATTGATTGATTTGAGAGAGAAACATTGATTTGTTTTTCCACTTATTTAAGCATTCCTTGGTTGCTTATTGCATGTGCCCTGACCAGGGTAGAACCTACAACCATATCAGGACGATGCTCCAGGCAACTGAGATTACCCTGCCAGGGCTGTAATTTTAAAGTTTTTAATAGCCATATTATTTAAAGGGGGAAACAGGTGACATTTAAATAACATTTTATTTGACCCACTCTATCGAAAATATTATGATTTTAACATGTTTCCAATAAAAATAAACTTTATATTCTTTTCTTCTTCTTCTTCTTTTGCTAAGTTTTTGAAATCCAGTGTGTCTGTTACCCCTTCAGCCTGTCTGGATTCAGGCTCAACCACCGTTCAATCCACAGGTGAGCCGGGGAAGATGCTATTCTCAGCCTTGGCCACAAGAGGTCGCTGTGCCCATGCTTGTGCACGGGGTGGCCGCTGACTGGGGCGTTCTGATCTCTTCCCCTACCTGAGCAGGCCTCTGAGGGCGAGACACAGTCTGTTTTGTTTTGTTTTGTTTTGTTTTGATCCCCACCCGAGGACATTTTTCGATATTTTGTTCAGATAGAGTGGGAGGGAGAGAGAGAGAGAGAGAAACATCGACGTAAAAGGGACACATCGAGTGGCTGCCACCCGCACAACCCAACCAGGGCCGGGGACAAACTGCAACCGAGGTACATGCCCTTGGCGGGAACCGAACCCGGGTCTCTCTGGACCGCAGGCCGACGCTCTAACCGCTGAACCAAACCGGCCAGGGCGAGAGACACAGTCTGGTAGAAATCCTACGGCCCCCACGAACACTGGAAACCCTTCTTGACCTTGAGAGCGGTGCGTTCATTCCTTCCACAAATGTTTCCTGAGCACTGAATTTGTGACAGCCGCGAACAAAGCAAAAACCTGCCCTCGTGGGAGAGGCCCAAAAGGAAAGGAGAAAATAGGCAGAATGTATAGCGCGTCAGAGGGTATTAAATTGGGGAATGGAAGCATGCCACACGTTTAAGTGGGTGCAGGGTAAATCCTGACAGTTGGGTTTTCTATTGTTTGCAATGTCAGTGCCTGACCTTGGCTTTGATTGTGGATGTGTCCATTTTAAAGATGGTTCTCGGGAACCAACAAGTCGCCAGCCACAGGGACAGGGACAGGCCAGGGGCTGGTCCCTTGTTTTAGGGATCTTGGTCGATTTCAATAACTGACTGTTTGGGCCCCTTGTTTCCGTGCACCCTCTTGCTTCCTCCCTCTCCACCCATCAATCCCCCCTCTTTTATTTTAAATTCACTGATAAAGAGTTAGCCTGGGAAACCCTAAGCCTCATCCTCAACCCAACCACAGCAGAATCCGGGCCTGCAATCTCTTGCACACAGTCTCACCCGCCAGCCCGTGACCTTGCTCTGTGGCCCTGGGTGTGCAGGGCCTGTAACTAATTGAACATTTTTCTGTGTTTCCTGGTGGCTGTTGCTGAGGGCTTCTTGCAATCGTGAGGACCACCAGGGCCAGTCCAGCCACAGCATTGGTTATAGATGGGCTCAGACCGCACAAGACAGCCGGGTGGGTAGGAAAGGCCTCCAGGGACCTTTGGAAAAACCCCTAACCAATGTGAGGCCGAGAGCTCTGCAGATTTGTGGGGAGGGTGTTGCTGGCCCAGCCAGGTGCAGACTCCAAGGCAGACGGTGATGGAGGGGTGAGCAGGCCTGGCTTTGGTTCTGAGCTGGGAGCCATGGAGGCCTGTGAGCAGAGGAGTGGTCGTTCCCTTATTCACGCAGCAAACATTTGCCGGGGCCTCCCAGGAGCCAGGCGCTGTGCAGGGCAAACAGCTGAGTCAGCCTTGGTCTCTGCCCTCGATGGGCTCCCCGTCTACTGGGGGAGGCTGCCCCCCAAACCCCCATCCCCCATCTATTGGGGGAGGCTGCCCCCCAAACCCCCATTCCCCATCTATTGGGGGAGGCTGCACCCCAAACCCCCATCCCCCATCTACTGGGGGAGGCTGCCCCCCCAAACCCCCATCCCCCATCTACTGGGGGAGGCTGCCCCCCAAACCCCCATCCCCCATCTACTGGGGGAGGCTGCCCCCCCAAACCCCCATCCCCCGTCTACTGGGGGAGGCTGCCCCCCCAAACCCCCATCCCCTGTCTACTGGGGGAGGCTGCCCCCTAAACCCCCATCCCCTGTCTACTGGGGGAGGCTGCACCCCAAACCCCCATTTCCCATCTATTGGGGGAGGCTGCCCTCCAAACCCCCATCCCCTGTCTACTGGGGGAGGCTGCCCCCCAAACCCCCATCCCCTGTCTACTGGGGGAGGCTGCCCCCCAAACCCCCATCCCCCGTCTACTGGGGGAGGCTGCCCCCCAAACCCCCATCCCCCGTCTACTGGGGGAGGCTGCCCCCCAAACCCCCATCCCCCATCTACTGGGGGAGGCTGCCCCCCAAACCCCCATCCCTCA